CAGCAGCGCTGCATCGTCAGCCTAGTCGATTAGTTGGTTAGCTTGGGGAAGGTTCGAGGTTAACCTCCCAATCATTTCTTACCATTCGTCGCTGAATCTCATCAACTCAGATAATGGTAGGGCACCACAGCAGCAGTGCTGTGGCGGAAATTCAAATGCAGGCGCTTGGCAGCATCTACGGCGCCCCGCCCCGAGCTCTGTGATTGGGCCATTCGGATTGGGGCGGAGCGATGGAGGGACGCGCGCTGCGCTGGCGTTGGACCTGGGGGAGCTGGAGCTACTGACAGCTGCTGCAAGCGGGAGAGGGCAGTAGTCCTCGACTATTGGTTAGACACGCCCGACTATCGTAGTCAGGGTGGCAGTACTACTGACAGCTGCTACCAAACAGCAAGGCTGGTGCTGAAGTCTGTTGTACCGCTGGTAATCGCGGCGGGACCAATGAGGGTCCCTCCGCGACTTCTACCGCGGGACACTCGATTGGCGGGAACAATTAATTCCGCTGTGACGTCACAGCTTTCGCAAGTACCGCCGTCTGCCCCCTAACTACTGCCTTGGTACTTCCGATCCTAGCACTGCCGGGTCTTGTTGCCTGGCTATGCTGCCAAAGATCGGCCGGTGTCGGTGTAATGGGTCCTGGAACGACTGCTACAGTACGCAGTTGTTTCGAAACGCACGTGACACCCGCTATTGATCGCAGTGGGCTGAGCGCTGGTTAGATCTTTTTTGACAGAAACGAGTTCAGATTCGTGCTCAGCGCCCCGGATAACCCCGTGGTAGAAGTTTCTATGGCTGAAACTAGACAAAACCAGCTTCTCCCTCGAAATGAGCGGAATTTCGAACTTTTGTGCAAAACCGAGTTCACCACTGTGTTCAGCACCCTTGAAAACCCCCCTAGCCAAGTTTCCAGAGAAAATTAATTTTTGGACCTAAATCGGGTATGATCAGATGCTCGAAGATTTGTTTCCTTTGGTGCCATTAGGATAAACGTGCATGTTTTACCGTTGTTTGGCAGTAGTTGTTTTACCGTTGTTTGGCAGTAGTACTGCCACTTGGCCACGAGTGGCCAATATTGGCCATATGCATATGCAGTGTTATGAGAACAGTTGCGTCCCCAGTAGGTTAGCCGTAGTGCTGCTCACGCAGTGTTATGAGAACAGTTGCGTCCCCAGTAGTTTAGCCGTAGTGCTGCTGCTGCTGGATGGGCCTAACGGACGGGCCTAGATCTGCAGTAGAGGTCCAGTAGTGCTAGTTGCAGCATAGGTCAGTAGCACTGATTGCAGCTCCATGGGACCACACCTACGGTCAACATCTGCTGCGAGCTTGGCAGCATATGCTGCGAGAACTCCGCCCCTTTTTGCTTCAGTAGTCAAATTACTTGAGCCTTGCAAATCCCATGCTGCTGCCAAGCTGCTGCGGCATTATCTGAGAAGGGTTCTCATGTCGCAGCAGTAGGTGTGGATGCAGTCCGCTACACATGATCATCCGAAGGAAGCGAATCAGCCCATCCGATCATTCGAGTATTCGTGAAGAAGTCTAACCATCAGATCGGCGTTCGTCCGCCTGTCATCCTTAAGGAAGGTGTGCATTGATCCAAAGGCTATCGCAACGTTTAGGTCGTGCTCTTCCACTGTCCGCGCGAAAACTGGATCCTCGGAATATAACAGCTTTTTAAAAGGACGGGCTGAAATACAGTAGCGGTCAGAAGTTTGGAAACTTTTTAATTTTCCAAATAGCGCGGCCAATAAAAGACGTAATTGTTCCAAATTCACATATTAGGTATAAAGTCAGGAGGAAAACACGTAATGCAATATGGCTTGTCGAAATTCCAAAAACTGATTCTTAAAATAAGAAAAATGCAAAGAACGGCGCGTCAAAAGTTCGAGCCATCCAGTTCGAAACCAAGATGAGTGTTCTTTCCCAACAATATAATCTCGCCAAAAGCACAGTTTCGAAGGTTTTCAAGCGTTATCGAAGCCGGGGAATCGTGATGAGAAAGTCTCGCTCAGGAAGACCCCGAAAGACAACTTCAAGAGTCGATTCACTAATTCTTAGAACTTCGATGGCCGATCCACGCGCGACCGCTTCGGATATTCAGAAACAGATAACTTCTTTTTCGGGTATTGCTATCAGCCAAAGTACTGTCCAACGTCGGCTGAGAACCGGAGGACTCTTTGGAAGACGTCCCAGTAAGAAGCCGCTGGTCACCGCAAAAACCGGAAGGCCCGAGTTGACTTTGCCCGCAAGCACCTCGCCTGGAATAGGGATGACTGGAAAAAAGTTTTGTTCAGCGACGAATCGAAGTTTTGCCTGTTTGGGAGTGACGGAGTGATGTTTATAAGACGTCCTGTGAACAAGAGGTATGATCCGAAGTACCAAGTCCCGACCGTCAAACATGGTGGAGGAAGTGTGATGCTATGGGGATGTTTCAGTCTATCCGGCGTTGGTCCACTAGTTCGTATCCAAGGTAACATGGACTCTGCTAAATACAAGGACATCTTGGAGAATGTAATGGTCCCATTCGCTAATCAAAACTTGCCAACAGAGTGGATTTTCCAACACGATAACGACCCAAAGCACGCCTCGCGTCTCGTGGCCGACTTCTTCCAGTCAAAGAAAATCAACGTTATGGAGTGGCCAAGCCAAAATCCAGACCTTAATCCGATTGAGCATCTTTGGGAAGAACTAGTTCGTCGTACAAGCCAATTTTCTGTTAAGAATGCCACAAATTTCAATTTATTGTCCAAAGAGTGGGCCTTGATTCCACAGTCCAAAATTGAAGCTTTAATCGATTCAATGCCAAGAAGATGCAAAGCAGTGATCGATTCCCTCGGGTATCCAACTAAGTATTGATATTTCGTTTGTAATTGTATGTTATTATGAACAGTTTCCCTTGTTATTGTGAAGTTTCCAAACTTTTGACGCGCCCTTTTCGCAATAAATCGTGTTTTTTGGCTCAAATCATATAATTTCAAAAAACCACGTTGCATATCGTGTTCCTTATTTGCTTTTATACATACTGTGTGAAATTGAGACAATTACGTAGATTAGAGGCCGCGCCATGTCGAAAAATGAGGTTTCCAAACTTTTGATCGCTACTGTACATGTCTGCATTCTATACATACATACGCATTTATTCTACGTATTATATTTTCCCTCTGAGCGCAAGAGAGGAATAAAATGCCCAGAATGCAAGCGTGATTTGAGATTCATAGTCAACATAACATATTCTTAGATATCCATATCCACCTAGCTTGACAAGTCTCGGCCTTTGATTCCACGGCGATATCACATGCGAATGCAAATGTTTATTGAATAGGTGAAACTTTTTCTCTTTATTTGTCGTTTACTATTCATAAACTATGCTAAGCTTTTTCTAAGGTGAAATGAGCGAAGCCTGCTCGGAACCTCCTCATTACACTGTGCAATACGCACTGATGCAAATGATATTCTGCCTCTTGTAGTATGTTCTTGTTATTTGTGAACAGCAAATTTCTAACGAGCCACGCTTTCTTGCTCGATCCACAGCAAATCTTTCTGATTCGCTCAAAACGAGTGATTGAACAAGTGATCACTCCTTTGGATCTGTTTCATGAGCGTCCTCCCTTTGTTTCACAATCTTCATCCCCAGGCCAGGACAAATAATCAACTGCTTACACTACTCATCCACAAAGAATGAAATTTGCCAATCGCTGCTCGCTGAATCTCAATCTTGGCTTCACAATTACATATTCCCTTACTTTTCACACTACTGCAAACCGATCAAGGTGTTAAATTTAGGGCGCGAGTCAGGATTTGATAAAGCTCGATCTCTTCACAAGAGGGATGCAGAAGATAAATACTATGATCCATCGACCCGAATGGGTTGTCCACCTGTACGTTTACTATGCCAGTATACTGTTAAGTTCCTAGCCAAGGTAAACAAACGAAGAGTCTCAATCCATAATCTGACATTAAAGTTATGTAGGAAGCAAAATAAAAAATAAAAGAAAGGAAGAGGTAGATGTCTTTGTTCGAGTGTTTTCAAGAAGGTTTTCAGAGGAAATACTATTCATGGATTACAATGCAACAGCAATGCCATCAAGTTTTACATTTCAAGTCGTGCACTACCCACTCTTTTGTTCTGACAAGAAATCTAGTTTTCAACCGACTGCTTCTAACTTTATCCGATCAGTCTGGAAGGAGCTCACATCTGAAAATAGCTCACGTTCGACTTTTTCGCAATATTAGCGTGACATATACAGTTTTTTCATTTTTCAAGATCGAACAGTTTTTTACACTTACGTTTCCACTTCCTTGCCTTCATTGCCTGAAAGAGCGAGAAGCAATGTTAACAATGGTGTTTGCTCAACCGCTTCAACAAAAACCCAGGACTCCCGATAAGTCTGATGCTAACGTTTCAATGGTAAGCAGATTATACACTGGTGTGCATTAAAGGAAGCAGTCACGATAATTTTCATGGCAACGATAAGGAAAGCTATGTATTGGAGTGGATAGAGGTCCTGCCCAATGTTAGAACACGTAAAGTTTCAATCAATGAAGTGATAAGGAGCCGAAATTCACTCAAGTTCAGCAAAACCCAAGACTTATCGATGTGGAAAGGGGTGCGATAAGAGCGTGCTAGATATGATACCGTTATCGTTATCGTCCCGTTTTCATTCTGAGTGCACCTCTTATCAAGCAGCCGCACCTTCTTATCTCATCGTATCATATCTTCCATGGGCTTACATCAATTGATAACGCGAGGGTAGCAAATCCAGCGTGGGAGCCAACGTGACAGCTTCCTTTAAGAACGAGACGGATAAATTGACGTAACTTATTAATCTTTTTGATGGAATTGGATGAAACTGTGCAAGCATAATGCTAGAAGCCCTTACAGTCATGGGCACCAAAGTGGGCCTCATATGTCTTGCATCCGGCTTCAATCTGGAGCCTAAATGGGGTGGCCACCCAGAACGATGGGTATCGTGGGGCAGGACAAGAGGGAGTGAACTGAGCAGGGAGAAGTGACTGTGGAATGTAGTGGTGTTCTTGATTACATCAAGTCTCAGAGACAACACTAGGGTGACTTTACGCGAGGAAGAATCATTGGGAAACTGGAAGAAGGAAGATTTGTAACGAGTGTGGTCCAGGAGTTTGTGCTCACACCATTGTTTTGTGCGCATAGGAGCAATATGGACTGCAGCCACTGCTGCCCTAGAAGAGTAGGTGGTGGATCACGATCAACGCAACAGCAGGTGATTGCTACGTTTTGCAACAGGCAAGAATTGACCCACGTCAGTCACAGGCTGCAGTTGCAAAAACATTTATCAGGATTGTAAGGCACGTAATCCCAGGCTGAACAGTGGTACAGTGACCGCATAGGGATGGTCTCTCTGACCGACCAACAGTATCTGGTATTTCTTCGAAAACTGCGCATCGGTGTGAACATTTGTTAGGTCACGTGAAATTGACGATGGACCACCGTTGGAGGATTCTCAATCAAAGGAAGCGATTACGATAAGGAATTTTCGCATCGGGGGAGAACCTGCGCCACACGGAGCAATTACTTGGCTGCCAAGGAAGCGATGTGTGGCCCTCCCACGGCGAAAGGTGCTGTGGTTGCTGAGCAGGACCCGCGTGACGCCTCCGCCCCCAGTGACGTGACGCCCACTAGTTTTGTTGATGATCTGGATGGACTGTTTGCTGTTGGCTTTTCATTTTGGATGATCATTTCCCTTCTAGCGGCTGTATCTTCCAACTTGCCCACGTATTGCCTTATCAATCAAAACACTATGCTTGTTGGCATGATGGCGGCTATCGGGGTTAACACGTCCGAACAACGTCGTTCTTTACCGTCGCTCATCCATGGTCGAAAATGAAAGGGCAATCAAAGGGGTACTATTTTGCTTATTTTTGACGGATTTCTTTGCTTTTTTCGCCATTGGCGTACTATTGAGACGTCCCCTCTAAACCCCTTTGAGATCTATCGTAATCGCTTCCTTTAAGATCAAATTGAATGTAAGTAGTGATTCTGAACTTACCTGCATGTGGCGAGAATAGGAACGTGTAATGCACCCAGGACCATCGTTCAACATGATTGTTTTGATAGTCCATTCGATATGGTGTGGGGAGGCATAAAGTTGCGGGGCGTACCGACCTCCCAACTCCTGATCGCGGAATGCTTTCTGATCGACCTTACTGTGGCACTGTACTTCTCACTTATACAGGGAAGGCCAAAAAAAGAGTCACTTTGCCATAGCGCACATCATCAAAGTTTCTGTCGCAAAGGATGCCGCTGTTATTGGGAGTTATCTGTCATCACCGTCGAGCTCAAGGAGGCCTACCATAATCGCTCCATTCTGAAGCTGCTACATAATTTCTTCAATCGGATAACTGGTGAATGGCTTCTTAGGGACACTAGCTCTGACTATGCAAATGGCTTTTGACCAGCGTTTCAGAGACGTCGTAATCGTCTATGGTTTCTCGACGACCTCGTTGAGCTCGTACCGTGCACCATGTTTCCGTGGGAAAATCTTCTGATGTCGTCGGTGTAGAAAGCCCCTATGTAATTTTTTTGATAGAATAGAATGTGCTCTTCAATATGCAATTGAGCTCATTCGGTTTGGTTTGGCAAAGTGTAATTAATTCTGTTTTGAATGTGAATGAAAGTGGCTCTTTTTTGGCCCCCTGTACACATCTTTTCAAGAGTGCTCTTGACCTCAACTTTAATTGTATGGAAGGAACAAGGTGCGAGAGCATCGAGCAGCCTAGGTGGAAAACTCTTGGAAAGCGAGGATTTCCGGCGATTGGTGAAGCCTGCCCGCTTCTCCAGTCAAATCCTATGGAGCACGTGTGGCGTGCATTCAGAGAGCTATTGTAGCGCATGACCATGCGCCAACAACTGTCCAGCAGTTGTCAATCGCGGTCTTCAAGGAATGGATCGCTTCTCCACAAGAACTCTTAACCAACCTTGTGGCCAGTATTGGAGCACGTGGCAGAGCATGCTTTGCAGTCCGTAGTGTTCATACACCCCATCAAGAACCAGCTCCTCTCTTTTGAATGTCTACCATGAGTTGGAGTAGCCTCACCCATCGACCGCTTCAGACAGGGTATTTGAAGAAAAATGTCTTTTCTAATCGTCCCGTTGCGCTTTTCTGCTAGTAACTCTCTGCACTGTATCGCAACATTTACTTCTATGTATGTGCCAAATTTACCGACCTAGGCTAGGTGGCGACCAGATATTGTAAAACTTACTTCCCCTAAGTTTTGCACCAGTTACGATACAAGCTGCAAATCTCGACCTCGTCATGGATTTCCAGTCACTTTTGATGAGGACGAATAGGAAGTTCATCCGGACGTTATTGGCAGGAAACTGTATCCAACATCTGGAAGTATCTCCACTCCATAAGCCGACACCTGAACTGAAGGGGCTGTAGCAGAATGAAGTCTCGATGGAAACAGCATGCATGGACTGATGATGACCGAGAAGCACGCCTGACCATCTGCAGAAGTTTCATTCTGCGACCGTATAGACAGACATTCCCTAGTTGGTCACCAGTGCAGATGAGTCATGAGTCCCCTACGATAACTACACACGGCACGCACGGTGGCTACCTCGGCATATTTGAACACGGGAAAAGCGACCTTCTCTATATAAATAAACACCAATTCTTCTGAATTACATGTGTAACCTGAAATCTGGTGCTAATGCTCAAATGTGCGGTCACACTTAACACTTTTTCTACATCAATACCTTATCAGAAAAACTTTCTAGGTGGCTTTATGGTTATTGGAGGCAGCGCCTACTCGCCTTCGTATTTTAGTCAGTGTGTTGACTAGATCACTCCCTCATTGCAGTCACCCCCTCCTCTGAAATGAGCAGGCCACATCGATGGATAAAATTATGTTGGAGCGTTGGGAGTAGCGAGTTATATTTGAATGTCTCATAGAAACATGTGGAACGCCTGTTAAAATGAAATCATCAGTAGAAAAGATTAATGCGAATGTTCTAATTGAGTAAAGTATCTCGTCGCTGTTGGTGACCCCGCGTCCCACCGTTCAGGAAACACTGGACACCAAGCAGCTTCTTTTTTCAACAAGTATAGACAAGATGCTTTTGATGTCAGTATAGATGATCAACGAATTGTCGTAGCGCTTGCCAACGAGTTGTCCCATAAATTGCTCAAAACGGCCGAGGTATCGCAACTGCAGTCGAGATATTGTGGCCGAAATACCTCTGAGCAATATGAGATACGTGGACCTGACATGGTCATAGGTGATGATGTCGTTAGAAGAATCTTCCACGGAAAAAAGCTCCGCCTCCATTACCACAGAAAAACGATACCTTAGGCCCCTAGCCTCATGAGCATAGCAAAAAGAACGGAACATAAGCGTTAGTTTCGATAATACTAATCCTACACACAAGACAAAATGATCACTCTTTCCGTGGAAGATTCCTTTAAGGTATCGTTTTCTGTGGTAATGAGGGCGGAGCTTTTTCCGTGGAAGATTCCTTTAAAGTTGTATAAAACTATTCAATTGTCCGTGTGATGCGTAAAAAAGCAAGCAATACCCATCAGCAGCAGCAGAAGTTTTCACTGACTGCAAAAACACGTTTTTCAAAAGTGGACCATCCACAATTCTTAGCCACGATTCGGCTGATGGTTGCAGTAAAACTGCAGGTTTCGTGGGCAGATACGTCAATGGTCCTTCATAATTGCTACGCCATTCACACTTGATTTCATCTACCCGCTTTTCTTAGGCAGGGTGGACAATATCCTTAATCGTCTCCTAAATCGCAACATCCATCCGTTCTTTCTTCTTTCGGCTCTCACACCAAACCTTCAAATAACACTTCGAGAAGGCATGATGATGCGATGATGGCAAGATGTCATGCGTAAGTTGTGCTAGCATACGTAGGATTCGAGCTGCAAATTTTCGGTGTGTCTCGCCCCATTTGAAAATTCCGCCTGGATTCTGGTCACCATGAATCTTTCG